GAACAGAACCAGGAGATCAATGTACACAGTAACAGCAACATCATAATGATGATCAACTGTGAAAGACTTAGCTACTCTGATAAATATGATGATCAAAGACAATTCTGAAGAACTCTTGATGAAAAAGCTATGTATTACCTCCAGAGATAGAACTGATGAATTCTGAATGCATATTGAAGTATAATTTTCTCACTTTATTTTCTTCTTTTTTTTGTATGACAGGGCTAATATGAATAGGTGTTTTGCATGATTTTGCATGTGTAATCAATATCATATTGCTTGCCTTCCCAGTGGGTAGGGGAAGGGGGCTGCAGGGAGGAAGAAAATTTAGAATTCAAATTTTTAAAAGAAAATTTAAAAGTAAATGCTATTTTAAAAAAGCATATGTGTGGCTGAATCTATCAAAAAATCTGCATGATTTTAACATATAATTGGGTAATACTTTGTTGAAAAGAAACTTTTGGGCTACGTCTTGCTCTACCAAATCAATTCTTTTTTAAATCAGTAAGCAATAAACATAGTGAGATACCTCATTCTCTCTACCTTTCAGTTAATCACATGAATTTGAAGATACGTTCTATTTTAAAAAGCCATTTGCTAAAGCATGATTGCACCTTTCTAATATTTGCATCAAAGATGAAAATATATATTCTTTTAAATGTAGCCTGAGAAAAAGGAAATGGAAACTGGAAAACTCTGGAAATCATATGCATGCACACACTTCCATAGCTTAGCAAATCTCTATCATTCTTTACTCTGGTCTTCTCAGGATTCCTAAAGAGATGTATTACATTTGGATTTTACAGAGATGAAAAAATATGTTAATGGGTCAATAGATACTGATGTCCTCGATTACCTTTTCTAACGTTAATTATTTTTTCCCTATCATTTTGGATCTTTCTGAAATAAGAAATCTTAAACCTTTATACTCAATATTTTCAAAATTGAGTTACCTCTAGCACAGGATTCTTTCCCCACCTTGGTTCAGACCAGATGTTCTATTTCCCTTCCTTCATATTACACACTAGAGACTCAGAGATTGGAGTTCAAATATGTTTGATTCCACCACTATCATCGCTGATGAAAAGAATTTGTTCTAGAAATGCTGCCAGATCTGTTGTCCTGCTTCTAGCTCCATCTAGATGCTTTGGGGATGACTTGACTGAGTTTGGTCTCATGCCCAGCTTTCTGTAAGCTTCTTTTCCTCTCTACTATTCTTTCCTGTTTTGAGCCCACCCAAATTCCAATAAGGCACGACTGCACAGCTGGAATTCACACTTTTCTGCTTCATTGTCTTCTGCTACTTATTAACTGGCAAATATAGGATGAGTGTTCCTTTGGGTAGTGTGAGAAAATTCAATCGCCATCCAAGCCTGTGTTAGTCCGGTAGCATGATGAAGTAGAAAGAGCTCTGGATTGGGGGGCCAAAGGGCCTGGGTTTGAGCCCCAGCTCTGTTACTTATGACCCAGGTGCCTATTACATGTCAGTTCAGTTCTTGGACCTTCAGTTTCCTCATATTTGAAATGAGAGGGTTCGACTGGATGATTTTAAAGTTCCTTCTAATTTCTTTGATCCCGTGATCCTATATCTACCAGACCTTCATTTAATAAAGCACCAGGAGCTGGCTCAGAGCATGGGCCAGAAAGAAAAGCATGGGACAGAACTCGTTGTTCTAAAACAGTCACGGAGCACCATTTCCCATTTGTGCCCAAGGCACATCTGAATTAAATTACAGGCACCCTGGAGATGTAGCTGCTTGTACACCTGTGTGTCCCCTATGCCTTGCCAAGAATATCAGAGTAGCAGGAAGGGATATTGGTTATAAATATTTGTTTCATTTAGTTGCCTAGGAGAACAATTATGTGCATATTAAATCAATTTAAATAATAAATAATGAATAATTGACATGCCTATGCCACTTTCCAGTTACAAAGCACCTTACATCTATTTACCTCTCAGCCACTCTCAGTGGTGTGCCAGTAAATGTTTAACATTAACCAGCTCTCCAGGAAAGGGGGGGGGGAATCCTGTATACAGGACTTTTAAAGTTTAATCTATAATATTAACATTTTCTCCACCATTTTCTTAAGTCTAGACAATCAACAAAATAATCAAGCCCTAATTTGTCACATTTGCTGACTTCTGAGGTGCAAATGCTCACATTGAAAACCAATCAGTTTTTTTTTTCCTGATCTGGGACAAGCTGGCTCTAGCACATACATCCCTGTGAACACTCCTGTTCTGTCCACATGTAGGAGATAGGGACTGGATCTGTGATTGCACTGATATAGGGAATCCCTAAATGAAGAAATTCCCCCTGCCAATGCAGGTTGGTACCTTCTCTGCAATTTATAGTCTTAGAAAGTTGCCCAGAACCCTGAAAGTTTAAGTGATCTGCTCACCATCCCACAGCTAGTTATCAGAAGTGGCACTTGAACCCTGGCCTTCCTGGCTCCAAGGCCAGTGCTGTAACCTCTATACCACACTGCCTCTCAGCACAATATGTGGCCAACCAGGATCGGTCTGCATAACTTGCTGGAAAGAAGCACCAGCCTAACTAAGCTTCTTAAGTTGTCACTAGACACAGCAAACCTAGCAGCAGTTAGGTGGCACAGTAGATAGAATATTGGACTTGAAGTCAAGAAGACGAAAGTTCAAATCTAGCTTCAGACACTTACTAGTTGGGTGACACTCCCTAGGCAAGTCACTTACCCTCTTTCAGCCTCAGTTTCTTCTTCTGTAAAATGGAGATCATATTTCTTTTTATTATCATTCTAAATTCTCTCCTTCTCTCCACCCCTTCCCCACCCATTGAGAAGGTGAGAAATGTGATATCCATTATACATACAAAGTCATGCAAAACATTTCCACATTAGCCCCGTTATGGGGTTAGGGGCATGAGAAAATTAAATAAAGAAAAAAAATATGCTTCAGTCTGCACTCTGAGTCCATCAGTTCTCTCTCTGGAGGTGGATAGTATATTTTTTAATCCTGAGTCCTTTGGAATTATCTTGGATTATTGTATTACTGAGAATGACTAGGTTACATATCTAATCATTGTTGCTATTACTGTTACAATGTTCTCCTGGTTCTGCTCATTTCACTTTGTACCAGTTCATGTCAGTCTTCCCAGGTTTTTCTGAAATCATCCTGCTCATCATTTTTTTCCCATGTTATTTATTTATTTTTAGTTTTCAACATTCACTTCTATAAAATTTTGAGTTCTAAATTTTCCCCCTCCCTCCCCTTCTCTCTCCCCAAGATGGTATGCAATTTGATGTAGGCTATACATATGCAATCATATTAAACACATTTCCACATTGGTCATGTGGTAAAAGAAGAATAAGAACAAAAGGGAAAAACCATGAGAAAGAAAAAGAGAGGGAGAGAAAAGAGTCTGCTTCAATCTGCATTCAGACTCCGTAGTTCTTTCTCTGGATATGGACGGTGTTTTCCATCATGAGTCTTTTGGAATTGTCTTCTGCTCATCATTTCTTACAGCACAATAGTTAGTATTCCATCACAATCATATAAAAATGGAGACAGTGATAGCGCCTACCTTCCAGATTCACAGCGAGGATCAAATAAGATAATAAATGTAAAGTGCTTTGTATCTTGACATGCTAGATAAATGCTAGCTGTTATTACATAGTGACCCTTCAACAAGCCAATTTATTAAACACTGAGGGCTGAGGTGCTGGAGATCTAAAGACAAAATTGAAAATATTCCTGTCCTATGGAGGGTTTGATGTGTACGAAATCAAGTATATAGCAGGTAAACTGAGAAAGGAAAGAGTGTGGAAAACTAGGGAAAATTAGGGAAGGCTTCCACGATGAGGTGGTACCAGAGACGAGCCTTGAAGGAAGTTAAAGATTTAGAGAGGTAAAGAAGAGGTAATGTGTTCCAGGCATAGAAGGACAGGGACAGAGATGGGCCCTAGACCTGTGATGTCATTGTTATAGGGAACTCCCAGGTAAGGAAACTCCCTCTGCCAGTGAAGGTTACACCTTCTTTGTAACTTGGAAGGAAAACTCGAGGTAAGAGATGAAATATTGTGCCCAGGGAACAGCTGGCAATGCAGTTTGGCTGGAACATGGAGGCTCTGAATGAGAATAATGCTAAATAAGCCTGAAAAAGTAGGTTGGAGTCAGCCTGGGGAGGGCCTTAAATGCCAAGTGGAGAAGTTTATTTTCTCTTATTTTAGGCAGTAAGAAGACACTACCAGTCTTTGAGTGGTGGAATGACATGGTTTTTTCCTTTGCTTTCAGAAGATTATTTTGGCAGCAATGGAGAGAGGATGACTCTGAAAGGGGAGGAACTTGAAGCAGGCTGGGACCAGTTACTGAAATAATTGGCTATTGCAATAGCCTGGGGAAAAGCCATTTAGGGTCTGAACTAAGCAGGGGGCCACGTGAAGAGTGAAAAGAGGAAGGGTCTGAGAGATGTTTGGAGGAAGCAGGAGCCCTGAGATTAACATGAGCCAGATTGGCAAGGGTGGGGGGAGAAGAAGGAGAGCCTAGGAGTACTCTGAGGTTACAAAACCAGAGAACCCTAGTGCCCTCAATAGAAACACAGTGGTTTGGAAGAGAGGCATGGGTACTGGGGGAGGAGCTAAGCTGCTTTTTAGTCCTGCTGAGTTTCAGATGCCCCTGGAACATCTCAAGCTTAACCAGAACAGTTAAAAACCTCTCCCTTACCACTTCCTGCCTCATTTGCAAGGCCTTGGGCCCCTCTTTCTTGCTTAAGTTTTTGGGGACTTTGGGGGATCTTTTTTTAAAAGCTTCTTTCTTTAGCTTACATTGAGATTGCTTCACATGAAGGCATTTAGGTCACTGCTTCTCTTCTTTTTGAATTCATCTGTTCTTAGCAACTGTCAAAGAACCTACCTGCCCTTCCCTGATGCCCGGCAATAGCACGTGCTAACGTTTTCCCCACCACTCACTATTAGATAGTCTTGCTCAGCACTCACTCAAATGCTGTTAAGGTAGACATGCTCACCAGCTTTCCGTCCTGCTGGGGTGTCCAGAAACGCTCCGGCAGCATTCTGAATCTGCAAATCAGATAGACAGGAGCAGCTAAACACCCAGGGAGAAAGTCAATTTATACCTTACATTTTGAAAACAGCCCTTGATCATAATACCTTTGAACCTGTGTCCTGGGTGCGGACCCTCTAAAAGAAAAGGACCCTAGCTTTTTGGAGGAGTTATTTATTTCTCCAAAGTCTTGACAACTGCAGTGGTAGAGGTGGGGTGCTGCTTACACTGACGGGGAGGGGGGGCAGTGCTAGATTCAGTGTCAAAGAGTTGAGGTTCAATCACTTACCACCTGTGTGTCTCTGAGCAAGTCAATCTCTCAACTGCCTTGTCGGTAAGGGGAGGGGAAGTGGCTTGACTCAGTGACCTCTAACAGTCCTTCCAGCTCCACCTGTCTGGTCCTATCTAGAATCAGATCCTAGGTGCAGAGGAAGAGAGTGACCAGCAAGCAAGTTCAGAATGTGCCACCATTATCGGCTGTCCTCTCCTTCCCCTGGGAATCTCAGCAAATCTTGGGACAGACAACAGGAAAAGAGCCTGAAAGGGGGAAATGAATGTGTGGATATCTGTAATAGCTACTAGGTAAAGTTTCCAGATCTCAGGGCAGACCAGGTTCCACCCAGCTCTCAGCCAATTGTCACAATGCAGTGTGAGCATTTACATCTGAGAAAATGGCAAATCAGGGCCCGATTTAGTATCTTGTCCCATTGTCTAGACTTAAGAAAATGATGGTGAAAATGTTAATAATAATTATTAAATTTAAAAGTGTGTCAATCGTACTTTTTCTGGAGAACCCATTGTTAAACATTTAACCAACACACCTTTGGGTGGATCCCAGTCTAAGGGGAAGCAGCCTTAGTGCAGAGAACTATGAACAGGGAACTCTACTATCTCCTCAATTTAACCAGGATCTCCAGTGGAGACAATCCCAAGTGAGTTTGAGCCACTTACTTGTTTCCTAAAGAAATGCTTTTCAAAGATTTTCTTTCCCCACTATTGCTGTTTCCCCATTATTTCATATTTATGCAATACAAAAGCCATGGCCAGCATTATGCAGGACCAGTGGGCACTCCCAAAGCCCCGGCACCCCTTTAGCTCCTATTAAATGAAAATGAATCATATCCTCTGTAAAGAATCCACTGTGGTTCGTAGAACCCTATGAACACTATGTAAAGCCCTAGAGCTGGAAGGGACTGAAGAAGCTGTCTTATCTAATACCCTCATTTGGTCAATGAGGAAAGTGAGTCCCAGAGAAGTTAAGTGACTTGTCCAATGTCACACAGGGAGTGTCCCAAGTAAGATTTGAACCCAAGTCGTTTGACTCTGCAGCTAGTGTTCTGTCCAATGTATGAGGTGGTCTCAGAGACAGACCTTCCTCTCTGCAATAAAGCCATTGGGACAAGCTCTAAATAAGGGCCTTTATTTCTAGGATTTGTTGAAAAATACATTGTAGATAAACCAAGAGATGGACTCCATGGACCAAACAGATGGAGGGCTGAGTGAGCTCCTAGATAAGTGGGATTTGAGGGGGAGGATTTTAAGGCTGAGGGCTGGCTGGTCATTTTTTCCATTAGTAGTCTGGTAACTAAGCACCCCCTCTCCCATCTCCTCTTCCTCCTCCCCTCCATCTCCTTCCCCTCCCCCAGTCCTTCTCTCCTTACCACAGGAAGTGGAATCATTCCATTAGTATCCAGAAGCCATTCTTTGAACTGCATGGCCAGAGCTTCCTTCCGCATCATACCCACACAGATCTTGATTTTGCTGATATGTTCTCTCTGCTCTTGCTTTTCGTTGACTTCTTTCTTCATCTTGAATACTCTAAAAGATATAGGCATAGAGGATCGGGAAGCCACTCCATCTGACCTGGCTGAGAACGTGTGAGTGTTGAGCATCCTTCAAGCTCCTGTTTCTCCCCAGCAAAGAAACCTTCCCTAATCATTCCAGTCCTTGGGAATCCCTGCCTCTTCAAATCCCCTCTAGCCCCTGTCCCTATCACTGATTTAGTTCAATGCTTAGAATTAGAAAGAAGCTTGGAGATCATCATGCCCAACCCTTTCATTTTACAGATTAGGAAACTGAGGCGCAAAGACATTAAGTGATTTGGCCAACATCACATACATAGTCATTAGTAGAGGTGAAATTCAAACTCAAGTCCTCTGACTCCAAAACCCATACTCTTTCCACTATACTCTATACCCTTTATTATACAACTATTCATGTGTTTATTTTTTATCTCCGCAACAAGGTTATAGCCTCTGGACCTTCTGATTTTTTGCAGCAGTGGTCCTAATTCTCTTTATGATTAGACTGACTGTTCCAACAGTGGCCCCCACCACCTTCCCCGTATCAGATCTATAGAGGGTATCATGGATGTGGAAAAGGGAGGTCACAAGATCCCATAATCCTAGTTTTAATGTTGAAGTCACCTTACAGGCCATTGAGTCCAATCTCCTTATTTTATAAACGAGGACATGAAGACACCAGGAGGGTAAGTGACTTGCCCAAGGTCACACAGGTAGTAAGTGTCTGAAATGAGATTCAAATTCTGTTCATCCTGCCTCCCAATCCATTACCTTCTCTACAACAGAGACGGTACATCATGATCCCTAAGCTACAAGCTACTTCTGTTTCTTTGCCTCACAAAGCACAGCAGCAGAAGTACACAGTTGGTTCTCAATAACCATTTTTGAATGCATAAATTAATTGCTTGCTCCTTGCCCCAAAGAGACTAAGTCATTTAACCTCTCTGGGTCTCAGTTTCTTTCTCTGTAAAAAGAGAGGTTTGGAATTGACAGTTTCTAAGATAACTTCCAGCTCTCAATCTAGGCTCCCAGGAAAGAGTGTGATTCAATCAATTGTTATCAATTCAATTCAATTGACCAATAAGGATTTATTAAGTACCAGGTACAGTGCTTAGTACTGAGGATGCAAAGACAAGTTAATAAACACTAAGGGCCAAATATGTCCCTTGCATGGTATTAGATACTAGGGATACAAAAACAAAGTGTTCCCCACCCTCAATAAGCTTACATTCTACTGTGGGGTGGGGGGGGGAGAGACACAACGTATAGACAAGTCAATATAAAGTATTTATAAGGTAACATTTCAAGAGGGAAGAGTGCAAATAACTAGGTGAGGGGAATCAGAGATGGAATGTTCCAAATGGGGAACAGTTGGCATGCAACTTGGACTGGAGCATAGGGTGAATAAGAGGGACTAGCATGACAGGGGAACCCGAAGGGGAAGGACTTGAAGAGCTTGGTTGAGAATGTCTTATTTCATCCTAGCAGAAAGAGGAGATGCTTGAAGATTTGGGAGAAGGAGTCATGACATGAATGTTTAAGGAATGTTCAAGGAACATCAGTTTGGTAGCTGCTTGAAGGATGCTTTGGAGAGGGAACAGAAAAGAGAGGGAGGGAGACCTATGATGAGGCTACCGAAATAGTCCAAGGAAGAGGTAAACCAGGAGAGAAACTGTGAGGGAAGAAGAGAATGGAAGCAGAGATGGGATGAAAAGATTTGACAGCTGACTGGATTTGGTGATTGAGAGAGAAGGAAGAGTCAAGGGTGATAACAAGTTTGCGAACTCAGTGGCTTGGAAGGATGGTGTATCGACTGAGACTGAGACGGGGAATTTGGAGAAGGGATGAATTTGGGGGGAAATACACTTGGTTCCTACCAAGAGTCCCTACTTAACAAATGGAGAAAGTGCTATATGTAATCTAGGACAGTTTTCCAAATTATGGGACATATTCCCCTGGGGGCAGGAGACCAGCTCAGGAGCAGCCTGAAGGAAACAAGTATGTATTAAGCACCTACTACGTACTTTTACAAATATTATTTCATTCCATTTTCACAACAATCTTGGAAAATAGGTGCTATTATTATCCCCATTTTATAGTTCATGAAACTGAGGCAAACAGAGGTTAAGTGACCTTCCCAGTGCCACACAGCTAGTAAGTGTATGAGGCTAGATTTGAACTCGGGTCTTCCTGACTCCACACCCAATGCTAAAATTATTGGATATTTCTGAGCATTACTCCTGCATAAATTTATCTACTTCTTTTTTTCAGTGAAAACAAAATTCAAATAAAAGTGAACAAAAGTAAGACAAGCATAGAGAATTCTATCCAACTGACCATAAAGATACCTCAATGCTTACTTAATATAATTTGATTTAGAGGCAGTTAGGTGACTCAGTGGATAGAACGCTGGACCTGGAGTCAGGAAGAACTGAGTTCAAATCCAGTCTTAGACAATGACTAGCTGTGGGATTTTGGGAATGTCATTTCACCTCTGTTTGCCTCAGTTTCTTCATCTGTAAAATGGGGATGATAATAGTACCTGTGTCCCAGGGTTGTTGTGAGGATCAAACGAGAAAATAATTATGAAGCACTTAGTGTGGTGCCTGGCACATAGTAGGTGCTATATAAATTCTAGCTGTTAGCTATTAGTGCCATAATATTATTATTGTTTGAACCCAATAGAATTTGAGCCGTACATATTTAATCTCAGTGTGAATAAGATATGCCATTGTAACCATCAACTGGCTTAGGCTCACGATGCAGATTCATTGGGTAGTCACACTGTGTGCTGCATTTGCAAGTAATTTTAAAGTTAAATGATCTTTGTGTGGAAGTTTAAAACATCTTAATATTTGTAATATTTCTCAACATCATTCATTTTGGCAAGTATAATATAATAAGCTGGTTTCCCAGAGAAACCCTGCACCTTTTTAGAAACTGAAGTAACTTGGGACTGGTTATAGAGAATCATTTGTGATCTTCAACAATTAAAGTCAAATTAATTGTCTTAAATTTTTTGTCTATGATTTTTTTTTTTTTTGCTTTTAGGCAATTGGGGTTGAGTGACTTGCCCAGGGTCACACAGCTAGTAAGTGTCAAGTGTTTGGGCTGAGGCCGGATTTGAACTCAGGTCCTCCTGACTTCAGGGCCGGTGCTCTATCCACTGTGCCACCTAGCTGCCCCTGTCTATGATTTTCAAAAGTAAAATAATATCCCTTCATAGAGGACAAATACGTAACGGGTTTCAGAAAAAGAGTCACTGACACCACTGAGGCCGTGAAGACACACAGACAGTTAAGACAATGTAAGTGACAGAAATACAGAAACGCAAAATAAAAGGTCCAAACCCAGAAAAGGCCATTTTTCTGTTTATCACTGGGATTCCCATGTACTGTTAGGGATGCAGAGCAAAGACCACTGGTGTTCCCTTTGGACAAAAGCTTTAGTCCCAGATAGCATGAAACCTAATAAACTTAAATGATGTTCTGAAAGTGGACACTCAGCATACGCTGGCAAGGCAAGAGAATCTATCCATAGAAAATTAGATGCTTTTAATGAGTGAAAATTAATTTTTCAAAAGAACTATGTCTTTAAATTCAACAGGATCAAAAGGGGTCCTTACTTTTAGCAACTTGATAGCTAGAGACCACAGTGGATAGAGCACGAGGCCTGGAATCAGGTAGACCTGACTTCAGATCTAGCCCCATACACTTACTAGGTATGTGACCCTGGGCAAGTCACCTAACTTCTGTTTGCCTCAGTTTCCTCATTTGTAAAATGGTGATAATGGAACCTACCTCCCAGGTTGGTTGTGAGGATTAAATGAGAGAATCTATTTAAAGGACTTAGTGCTGTGCTTGGCACATAGTAGGTGCTTAAAAATTCTTCCCCTCCTTTCCTCATTCACACACACTAAGCAGGAATGTGACTATGTCCATTTCTCCTATTTTCCATTAAGGTTATTCTCCATTTATGCATAGACCATTCTTACAGAGATGAGAAAGTGGGCATACTAATCACTTCTTACTATTCTTTTCTTATAATAATACTATCCATGATACCCAGTTGGTATGAATTTCCCCTTCTTTGAGATATCACAAAAATTGGTCCCTGGATATTGTCAAATTTTGTGGCCTCCAGAATTAATTTCCTCTGCATGTGGGGGCCATCTCCAGTCATCCTGATATATATCTTGCCACTGGACCCAGATGGCTCCGGGGGTGAAAGTGAGGCTGATGACCTTGGATGGCCCTCCCTCACTTAAATCCAATTCACTTGCAAATCACGGCATCATCTTTCTGATGTCATGGTCCTCTTTGAGAATGAAGAACATACATAAATATGAACATGCACATGTATTTTGCAAGGTGTGTTCACCTTTCCCAACTACATTTTCTTGAGGGCCATTTCTATTTAATAGCATGATGGATGCTGAACTTTTAGAGGTTAAATACCATGGTCTATGCATATATTGAAAATATTACCACAGCTAGGAGGCCAAAGGGTTTGGAAGAGAACAAAAATAGATTAGAAATTGAGCAAAATTTCCAGCATTTCTATAGCTATCTTGCCTCATCATTCATAATAGCGGATACTATGTCAAATAATGATGATGACAGCAGGCATCTTAGTTTTACTCATGATTTAACAGTAGAGTTTCCAGTTTTCCCCCATTACAAATAATACAAGCTAGCCCTTGGTTTGTAGATAAATGTTTTTGCTCACATTTTTAAAAAGCATTGTCATTTCTATATGATAGGGGCTGAATTTTATCCCTGACTATGGGAACTAATGTACAAGCTGAGTAAGAACTGAATGATGGCATCGTAATGGGTAAATCATTAGAGCTATCTGGCCAACTATAAAGGGCTGAGGATCATTTATTATAGAGTTATCACTAAATCATGGCTATTTACCCCAGAGTCTTTTTAATTAGTCACTTAATTACCCAGCCCTGGTGAAGTGTGAAAATGAGGTGCCTGGTCTAGTTTCTTCAGCCAACTCTCACAATGG